CTCCGGGCGAACCTGCATTGGCATGCCAGAGGCCGAACGAACTGAATCTAGAGGCATAGGAGCCAAGCTGATTAAATTGTCGATGTCAGCAGAACTGGAAACGACAGGAAACTCAGAAGCAAGATAGAGAGCTGCTTTTTGGGACACACTTGAAGTGGCGACCGTAGTAACAGTGGGGCTAACTGACGGAACTTGAGAGTGACTAAGTTCGCCCAATGGAACGATCAGAGAGAAAGGATCCACGGAGCAAGGTTCCACGGGAGACGTATATGCCTGGTCTTGAAACACTGAAGCACCATGCTGGGTCGCGATGAGCGTGTGAGCGGCGTAGGTGACCAACTCATGAGGCTCAGAGAGTTTAGTGACCACGAGGGAAGCATACGTCTCACGCCTAAGATTGTAAAAGGATGAAACACAGTCGATTAGTTTTCATCCTCTACAAGGCAATGGCGAAAAATTATGTTAATCCAATAGAAAAATAAACATATTCCAACTGATGGATAAATTCTGGCAAGATGTGGCCAAATGTGCTTAATCTTGGCTAATCAGATCCATGAAACATCATTGTCTTTCCATTTTGAGATGAAATCGGGCTCGGATTAGAGAAAATTATAAGGATCCAAATCGAATTAATAGGACTACAGGAAGTTCGACATGTATTCAGTTTAAAAACGGAGTCGAATGAAATGAGGAATGCATTAGGAATGAATGATCCAGTGTGCAGAAGACAGGACAAGAAAAAGATGTCACACTAGTTAAAGTCAGATATAATGAAGACAAGATAAAATTGCGCCTAGAGAAGTCCGAGTGTATTATGGCGTTCGCACGTCCCTTCATGAGAAGGTAGGGTATAGGCATGCACATGTGTGCATGCAGACCTAATTGCGTCCCTGCTTATGTGACTACATGCGTGCTCAATCCAGCATGCGCCAAGATATACGTATCCAATGGAATGCAAGAAAATTAGACTGTTTTCACCACGGAGCATACATATGAGGTCATCTGAATTTGCCTTCAATCCATACATTCTGAAACCCGATAATCCGTAGCGTAGACATATCGAACACCACATCTGGTGTGGCTAGAGAATGCTTATGCAAGCAAGTGAGCAAAAGGAGTTGACGAATTGGATTAGAGCTCGATCAAGACGTACTGCAGACACAAGAAAGAAAGAAATCTCAAAATTTTATAGGAGTGATACTTAAGATCTGTTAGTATTGCAGGAAATGCTGGACAAGCTCGACATCAATGGCGGGGATCTATGATATAAAGGGGCACTAGCCTCTTTATCCTAAGGTAAAGATGATAAAGCCAGACTTAGAATCAGGCAGCCCAATTATTTTCCAAAAATTATAATAACATGATAATGTGCCCAGATAAGAAAACAATAAACGTCTATATATTGGTGATAACTGTTAATGTGAGTTGCAGTTGTACATTTGCCTGTAGAGAAAACAGGAAATAAGAAGAAAATAGACTACGCTCATTGGAATAGTGTGTGATTGCGCATACACATAGGCATGTGCACGTGAGATAAAGCGAAGAATGAAGATGAGCAAAACAATCTACAAGATGACTAGAAATCGTACAAATACCATCGTTAGAACTGCCCTGCCTTATTATGATATTAATCGGCCAGGTCGATATGGCAAAAATAGAAATACAAGCGTAAAAACATCCAATACACAGTCAATTCCATGCTTCGGCATAACAGCAGTTCGGAATGACTTGATCGAAAGAGAGTAACCAAACTTTCAAGAGATTTCCAGATACAGAAACTATTCATTTAATTTATAAGGCGAAATAAGAACGTGAAGCCAAGTTAATGTTGATGCATGATGTAAAGCTGAGCCAAATCGAAGCATTATAAAAAACTGATTTGAATTTACGATATAATGGTAGCATCCAAAGCTACAAATTCTGAGTGGAAATTAAGCTGATAATAAGAAATCGAATTAGAGCAATGGCCATAATTTTCTTAAAAGATGGTCGGGCGATAATAGAGCTAACTTAATTATTTTTGAGATTACCCGTAGCTCATATATATAAGGTGTTTATTCATCTTATTTCAATTTTGGTGATAGGGAGGCTGGGCTATTAGAAATGCAATAAAAACGTAAGGTCTATTCATATCATTGTGTGAAAACTTAACCACCAGTCCCGTTAGATAGGGTGAATACACCTCATGTTCATATTAAATATATCAATTGATAAATATCACTAACTAGAATCATCATGTAGTGTAACCTGAGATCATTTAATTAAAAGGAAAGTTTAATTATTAACCTCAATCAGGTCAGGTGATCGTTACCATAAACGAAACTAAGCTAAGCAGTCTTAACCTAAGAAATTTTATCCTACCAGGAGAGAAAAGCACAAATAAGTATAATAGTAAATTGCGATTCAGAAGAGATTCATAGTAAAACCTAAAAGCAAAGCGAATTTTTCCCAAGATTTCTCCTGTTTGCCCGAGAATTGCATTAAATATAAAAGTTTCGACAAAATATAGAGATAACAGGAAAGTCATATTTCGGTAAATAAACAGAGAAAGTGAAATATTAAAATATACTGAGCAAGAGAAGTAGTCAAAACTCGATTATCGAAGAATAGTGACTCAATTTAGCACAAGTCAAAATTAAGAAGATTTCAATGCAAAAGAGCAACATTATCCTCACATTTAGGCTTTATTTTAAAGGTTAATGTGAAGATTCTCATAGGATAAATTTATCAGAATCTAAGGCAGGCAAGTAGTTTATTCCCAGGATAGACTAAGAAAGCGAATTTTCTTGCTGAAAAAATTCAAAATTATCAGAACATATGACTAACGACCCGACTCACAAAAGGATGAAACTCTAAAATATGCAGGTGTACAGGAAACTATGCTACAGTTTAGACCAAAGGATTGAGGTAGCGTTGAATAATAGAGCTAGTACAGTTGACCTTAAATATATGGATGAAATATGCATGTAACAATGTGATATGGTGTAGAAATCAGTAGAGAAAGTTGATTAAAAGTAAAAATAGTATAGTATTTTTGTTTTATGCTGCAGGAGCATAAAAAAACACTTCAACGACAGAAAGGTTTGGACATAAATTACTAGAATATATATATATATATATACTCCGAAAGGGTCCGACATAAAACAGATGAGAAAAACAATATATGATA